ACCGGTTTTAATGATTGGGCGTAATTGTGCATTAAATTGTATGGGCAACGAGGCGCGTCTAATCGTGTGTGGCACGCGCGTTGGTGCTCATGTGGACATTTTATTTCTTGACCTGGAAATGGTTGCTTTTCCTGCTTTTTGTCCCAAGTAAAAGTCTGTCACATTGGATGAGTTTTTCCCCTTATTCTTTCAGTTATCCGTTGTGTTTTCTTTCATCTGTTTTTTTTTGAAACTGGTGGTAACAATGTCTTGCTTTGTGATGTCTATTCTCATTTCCATTGTTTCGCTTGAGCGCTTAGGCCATGTTTCTTCAAAGTATCACCTTATTCATGATGATGGTGTTTCCATTCTTGGTGCTACGACAATCATTAATCACCCCTGGTTAGATCAACATTTATCTCCATTATTTTGAAGCGGGGTTACGAGTTCTTCCTTCCCCCTTCTTTGGTTAGATTGTCGAAGCCAACAAGATTCATACTATCTAGTTAAAGTCTAACTTTGTTTCCAATTTTTTTCTTTGAGTTCTTATGTCATGTTTCCTTTGTCATTCTTATTGTTGTTTTGTTTCAATACTTCTTCTGGATATGTAGTAGTGCTGCCTGGTTCTATTTTCGCTCTACGGTGCCAAATTTTATTAAGTTCTTCTGGAGTCGATAAAGAAGTGGCAAAATGAATTTATTTGGTTGAATTCATCTCATTTCTCTTTTCACAACACATTTCAACTTCTCGACACTATTATTGATCAAAAATCAAATACGATTCATGATCTGGCGCATGATATGATTAAGATCTCTCATTTAAATGTTTTGATGAAGAAATTCCCGAAATGTTAGGGTGCAAAGTCATGCTTGGATGTGGCTTACCCTGTTGTATGTTTAAATGGGTTGAGTATTTCCTATAAATAGGAAGTGAGTGACTCCCATTATGTAAGAACTTGTAATAATCATTTTGGAGTGTTAGTTTTAGAGAGAGAGAGAGAGAGAGAGAGAGAGAGAGAGAGAAATAGCAAACCCATTTATACTCTTTCTAGACAAACAAATGAGAGCTTAAACCACATTTATTTACTCCATGTGTTCATGATTTGTATGATGATTTACTAGATCTTTCATATTCCGCATTTTTCATCATAATCAACACCACTACAATAGGTATCAAAGCGGGTGTTCTGATTTGATCAAGAATTGATCCATGATGACTTCATGATTTGAGTGAATTTTCATTGTGATGGGTTCTTCATTTTTTGAGAAAATTTGTATTCTAGAATACTTGTTTGTACCACATTCTCTTTCTAGAATTCGGTTCATATTCACTTTCTCTCTTTAGAAATTTGTAAGTTCTTGTGATCATGGTGTATTTGGATTATGATTGTTGGGTTGTGATCATTAAAGATGTGAAATACAAACTCAACAATAATCAATTCTATGGATCATTGTTGAAGGTGGCTTGATTTCATGGAGTACTATGGTCTCTTATGGAGGTTTGAAGGATGATAACGGAAGATTGATATTCCAACCACTTTTGAAGATTGAATGCTTGCTTCAAATTTCCATGCTCAAGTTATCTCCTAGTGAAAATCGAAAGGAAGGAGAATAAAGGGATTTGCTTAATAAGAGATACATTTCTCTTATTGATGACCCAGGTGATCTTCATGCTCTTAAGTTTGTTGAAGTTCATGATAAGAAGATTCAAGTTGATTCTCACGAAGAGGAATTTTTTTTGCTCGATTAGAGTTCAAACTGATGATATTTTGTGTTCTTGTGATTCGTTTGAAGGAATGATTCTTTATCGAAAACCGTTAATCCTATAAATTCACAAGTGTTTAAACTCCAAAAGATTGATTCAAACTTGCAAAGTTGAAGTTGTCAAGAATGAAGGTGTTCTTGAAATCAAATCTTCAAGATGCAAAAAGATGAGAAAGAAAAAGAGGAAGAAGATCAAACAGAAGAGCATGCGGGTTTACTCACAAAAACCGTCAAATGTTGTTGTGAATCCGACATCCGTGAAGAAAAATTAGGGTTCCAAAGCAACAATCTCCAAATGTTGCATTGAATCTAAAGTCAAAACCCAAAAATATTGATGGTTCTTATGAAGATGTTTTTAGATCGTTGAAGAACACGAAAAACGAGTTGTATAACACACATTATGGGTGGTACAATGTTCAAATTGGATATTTTCTCATTCCAACAAAAGAACCACGATCTTCAAAATTTGATTCCTTCCTTGCAAATGGAACTCGGATCATCAAAAAGGTATCACAAATTCTCAAATAAATTCCAAAATGTCCATAAATTCAATTCATCTTTTGCGTTTTTCATATTTGATCACTTTGTCTCATTGGATAAACTCCTTTTCAAACCCCATAGATTGATCTAATTATTTTTGTTTGGATATCCTATCAAATAAAAATTTGTTTACTATTCATCCAACCATCAATCAATTACTGATCATGGAGCCCATATCTATTGTCCAATACTATTTATCCAGTTTGAGTCCAAAATATTAAATTGATAATGCTCATAAAGCCTGTTCGATACATCGTCTTCGTTTGTTCTTCATTCTCGTTTCATTGTTCTTTGATACGAAAATTACAAAAGTCAAAATTGAAATCAAATGTAATTTTGAGTTGGATTTTCGGAAATAATTTTGACTTTCATGTTCATATTGTATGAATTGGCCCATAATCAACACAATCATCTGCTTATCTTTTTGTTTCCTATTCGATATTGATCTCATTTTTTTCCCGGAGATTGATTGTTTGACCGTACTTAAACCTATAGGGATTAGTACTTAAATCATGGATAACGATAGTTGAATTTTGATTTCTTGGAGTTATCGAGTTCGATTTTGTGCGATTTTGATAGCTAACAGTTAAATTACGAGGTCGAACAAGTTGATTGACTATCGAAATCAGAAATGAAATCAAGATCGATTGCAGAATCTGAAAATGATTTCAATTTTGTTATACTTGGTTTGAGTCGATTGAAAACTGAATGGTATTGACTTGGAATCAATGTTGGATTGAAGAAAGTTAAAGGACAAAGTCAAAATCAAATTTTTGTTTGTCTATTTAGTGAATTTCGACTCTAATTTTGTTCATGTTGATAACGAATGTCTCGATATCGAGATTGAGAAGGTATTAGCAATCAAGACTAGGAAGATTGAAGAATCGAAATGGGTTCATCAGTGGTTTGATGATCGACGGTTTGGGGATGAACAAGAATCGACTTAGGAAATTGATTTGGGCCGAAATCACTTTCCCATCTATGAATGATTTCGTTTCGTTTTGGATGATTTCGCATATGTGGTTTGATGATTTCGACGATGCTTGATTTAACGCAAATGGTTGATGTTGAGTTTGTTGACGGCGTCTCTGTGATGGATATAAGCTTGATAATGGAGGCTGTGATTTGGTAATAGGAGTATTTGAGATAAAATGGAAAATAGACTGTATTTGTGAATCAAAGGTTGATTTTGGTGTGTTTGTTTGAATGAAAAATAAGGTGCTGTTTGTTTTTCTGAAGCCAAAATATCTGCAGTCTGCGGACCACATCTGCAAGCCTCTGCAGCAGAAGAGGTGGACCAAACGTCTGCAGTCTGCAATAAGAAGACTGTTTGTTTTTTAACGTCTGCAGGCTGCTGAAATAAACTGAATTTTAAATAAAATTATTTTACAAACTTAAAATGATTTTTCAACACCAAAATTTTAATAATAATAGTCTTATAATATTGAAAATAAAATTCATGCAACTAAATTAGTCATACAATAAAAAAAAATGTTTTACAATTACAATTTCATTTAAAACAATTCAATCTATATTGTGCATCAACTGATCAGCAATTTCATCACGTAACTGAGTCATATATTCACGGTCTGCTGCAGTACCATGTGTTGGAATCCCGTCTTCATCATCATCAATGGCCACATTGTTATTTCGAAACGGGACATTGGGTTCATCGTATCGTGCGAAATACTCATCACTCAATCCTTCTTTCCTTATATAATTATGAAGCGCGAAGCATGCCATGGCAATGTTTCTTTGTGTCACAAACGGGAATGGTGCCATCCTCTTCAATATAGGGAAGCGTGCTTTCAAAACACCAAAAGCACGCTCAATGACATTTCGAAGTTTTGCATGTCCATGGTTAAATTTTTCTTTATTGGTCAATGCACGTCTTTGACGAAAATCTCCAAGCCAATACCTCACATTACGATAAGGGGCCATAAATCCTCGAGTGTGTGCATACGCGGCATCACAAAGATAATATTTGTCTGAAAAAAATGCAAAACACTAATCAATTTTCAAATTAAAATGAAAATATTAAAAAAAAAAAAAAATTACCTGGTGGTGGAAACGGGAATGATGCTTGTGGATCGGCTACTGCTTCTGATAATATTCTAGAGTCATGCGCTACCCCTTCCCACCCGGTCACAACAAATGTAAAAATCATATTGAAGTCACATATTGCCAATACGTTTTGGTAGCAATCTCCCTTTCCCCTACTTCTATATAAGTCTTGTTTCTTAGCAGGGACAACAACATGTATCAAAGTGCCATCAAGTGCACCAACTGCTCCTTTGAAAACCCTTCGTAGCCTCCTATTATGTCCTGGAATGTTTGGATTCGGATTAAAAGATGTTGGTACTATAACATCTTGTGCGAAAAGCATCATTTTTTCCAACACTTCATAAAAAAATTTATGAATTGTTTGCTTCGAGTGTTGAAATCTCCGCTTGATAATCACGTAACGTTGATTATGTCCGATCATCATCAAAAACATAGCCATCTTTTCCTCAACTGATACATGTTTGCTGTCCTTTAATGAGTAATTTGCTCTAAAATGAGCACATAGTCGTACAAAAGATTCACGGGACATGCGTAATACTTCAACACATTGTAAACGATTACGGTGTAATAACTCCAATGTGTATTCGTGTCCCGTCATTTCCGAATCATTATCCCGCAATCGTTTCACACCCCTCTTCCAAAAATAACGGATGTATAGGTACATTAGAATTACGAGAAGTAACTTTTGATCGTGATCCATATGAACCTAAAATCAACAAAGTAGAACTTTAAAAAACATTACATAAACCATATTTCAAGTATCAAATAAACATTCCATTTATCATATTTCAAGCCAAAATAACATTACATAAACCATATTTCAAGTATCAAATAAACATTCCATTAATCATATTTCAAGTACCAACAAGGGCAAAAAGACCTAACAAAATAGTTCCAACAAAGGCAAAAACATTTAACAAAGTAGTTACAACAAGGGCAAAAAGTCCTAACAAAATAGTTCCAACAAAGGCAAAAACATTTAACAAAGTAGTTCCAACAAGGGAAAAAAGACATAACAAATACTTTCAACACTAGAAAATCATCGAACAATCTTCCCATCCTTCAAAACTCCTAAACTGGTACCCGTCATCTCAAGCCACCCTCGTAATATCTCGGGAACATCGGGCAAATGCATCCACATCTCTCTCATGTTCATGGTTCCTCCAAAAATATGATATGCGACAAAGCGTAAAGGATCTGTAGGGCCTAACTGAAGGACCTCTAACTTCTCTAAACACTGAGGAATTGTATACCCTTTAGTCAAACTTTGTAGAGCTTTCTTCATTTCAAATGCTAAATCGTCAGCAGTAACAGAAGTTCCATCAGGTGAAGAAGCAGATGGTGAGGCACTAGGAGCTACAGGAGTTGAGGGTTTAGCCCTTTTGTTGGGGTTACCGGATGGTGTAGCAGTATATGGTGAAGCAGCAGAAGGTGAAGCAGCAGAAGGTGGTGGCTCATGATGAGAAGTGTCAACACCATCATCATCCATTGCATCAAAAGGGGTGGCGGTGATCTGAAGTGGTGGAACACGACAGGAGGATGCGCCAGCTACTGATGATGATTGGGTTGAGTAACTCCTAAAATTACCAGTAGCACTATTTCCATCAAAAAGACGTGCACAAAGATCTGGAAAAGGCAGTGGAATTGTTCTCAAAGAAGCAGCTTTCGGATGCCCCTAAACCCAAATGTAACAAGAAATAGTATAAGAATATTTGGCAACTTCAAACGTAAATGTTATATATATATATATATATATATATATATATATATATATATATATATATATATATATATATTATTGTATATTAATGTATATATACCTTCTTAAAATCATCCCACTCCTCGGCTGTTAAATTAAAAGTGTTTGTTTGAGAATTGTATATATTACCGGTTTTGTTTTTTAAATATACCCATCCAGTGTATTTGGCTTTCAGATTGTCATATGCGTTTTTCATTTGTTTTTGAGTCAACTCAACCCCAAATTTCTCCTTAAGAACTCTTCCAAGCCTTATCCATGAATCTTTCTGCAAACTCAATCCTTTTCTACCAACACTCTCTACTTCTTCAATACAAGTATCCAATAAGCATTTTAAGTGCTCATTGGTCCATTGTTGTTTTTCTCCCATCTCTAATAACCAAATAACAATAAACAGTGAACAAGTAACATCATTATTTCAAGAAAAAGTTTTTATTTTCACGACAAATTTGTAATTTTGTTTTATTTTCAATCACAATAATGTGAAACTTTTTATTCAATTATAAATAACCTCAATTAGAGTGTTTTAATTCAAAGTTTTCTAAAAAACTTTATAAATCAAATAAACTTCACTTTAACGACAAAAACTTTACTTCTATAAAATAAACAAAACTTATGTCTCTTTTTGATGCTTTCTATCATATACATACAAAATCAACAATCATATACATATACACTATCATATAAATATACACAATCAATAATCATATATATATATATATATATATATATATATATATATATATATATATATATATATATATACAACTTTGAATTACTGCATATTTAAGTAATACAATCAATTCTAATTATAAGCATTGTTGATAATATGCGTGAGTGGAAATTTAACATTGTTGGTGTACATAACCTAAATTACATTCAAGGTATCATAAAAGCATCATAAGAACATCATTCAAAACAACAGGAGGCATGCCCAGGCTTGACAATGACATAATTAAACAGAAAATTTGGGTGCTACTGTTACAGGTTTAACATCTAGGTTCAATTGCTAATTGAAGCACAAACACATACACAATTGGACTTTTTCAATCAAACAGACCAAGCTGGAGATGTTACAGGTTTAACATCTCGGTATTTCATTCAAAATCAAATCCAATTTCACATTCAAAGATAAATTACTTTCATTACAAATGTTTTTATTTTACAGCTCTTTTATGAGTTATGCATCAATTAACATAAATTCTGAACTATAGCTTCAATGCAACGGATAAGAAGGGAATAACAGAAAGTCGGGAGAAGAAGGAAGACTGACAGCAGGAAAAAAAAACGAACCTGTAGCTGTGAGGTCGAAGTCTCCGGTGTAGCTGTGGGGGCGACGGTCTCCGGCCGGTGGCTTCACAGGGGAGGCGCTGGTTAACTGCGGCGAGCAGGGGAGGAGTCGTCGCTTGGTCGCTAGTTGAAGTTGTCGCTGTGACCTTGTTGTTCGCCGGCTGCTGCAATCGACTGTGATGGTCGGAAAATCGGAGGATGCCGGATCGGAGAGGAAGGCGGCGATCGATGGTTTTGATCAGAGAGGAGGGTTGCGACGGTGGTGGTCGCTGCAAGGTGGAGTACGATCGATCGATCGAGGGTTTTTTCTGGGAGGGTTGGACGAGGACTGGAGGCGGAAGCAAAAAAAAAAGACGCATTTTTTTTAGGTTAAAGGGCTTGCAGACTTTAGAAGATGCTATCCCATATCTGTGTGGTGAAGACCTCGCGCAGGCGTTTTTATGTTTGCGCACTTCAGAAAAACAAACAGACTGCAAACCATTATGTCTGCGCGTGGTCTGCGCCTCGCAGACAGAAGAGGTCACGCAGACCTGCAGAGAAAAAACAAACACCCTCTAAAGCATGAATGGTTTTACAGTCGAGGGTTGAATTGTCGATTGGTTGATGGTCTTTGCTTGAAAACGAATTGGGAATACACTCGTTTGGAGTCGTTGATGTCGATGACTAATTGTTGAGAATGAAGACCTGTAATGAAAGCGAAGCAATAGATTGATAGGATATTTTGGGTCTCATTGTGTTGATGTCGACTGCAATTTGTTAACGTTTCGACATAGGTGAAACAAATGGGTGATAGTCTACGTTTTGGAGTCATGAATCGAACAACATGTAAAACAAAGGACTGTAATGAAAAGCGAAGAACAAAGCTGAATGATCCAACACTATTCAGCGTTTGAATGACTTCATTTTCGAATTTTCTCTAACTGATTAATTGATTAAGAAGATATGGTCTTCGTTGGCGAAGCATGTACATGAAAAGTGAATTCGTTGTTTGTGTAACGAATTGGGAAGAAGAAAACAAATGTTTCCATTTGGGTCCCTACACTTTTGATGAAGTGGTAGAAATGGTCCAACTTCGACTTTAGAGTAAAACTTGTGACAAAGGATGAAGTTTCTCATTTAGTCCCTCTAATTTCGACATTTTGGTAGAAAATATCCCACTTCGAAATTGGACTAACAATTGTAGCATCCTAAAATTTAGAGTCAAAAATTTCATTTTTAAATAAATAATTATAAAAAGACTAATAATCTAAAAACATTGATAGTGTCATCCCATATCATAATCAAACTAGTGTGTCAATTGTCAAAGCATGCTATAAAAAGATAATATCAGAGTAGAACTCCCAAAGATCTCGTCATGCGGAAAATCATAGTGTGATGCGATGTGATCATGTAAACTCCTTTCATTTTTAAGAAGAAGTACCTAAAACCAAAACTGAAAACCGTAAGCACAGAGCTTAGTGGGTTCCCCCATCATACCACATAACCAGATACTGTCAGGCATATCTGGGTGCCCGACGTACCCCTTCGGTCTAATCCAACCGGATAATGTCGAGCATATCTGGGTGCTCGACCTACCTTGTTAGGCATATCTGAGTGCCTGACGTACCCTGCCAGGCTTATCTGGGTTCCTAACCTACCCTGCTAGGCATATCTGGGTGCCCAACCTACCCTCTGGTTTATTTCAACCGATTATAGGGTCTATTTCATCCCCTACCACTACCACACAATAACATAATGTAATCATATTATCAGACATATCTGGGTGCCTGACCTACCTTATCAAGCATATCTTGGTGCCCGACCTACCCTCCGGTTAATTCTAACCGGCTACGGGGTCTTTCACCCCTACCACTACCACATAATATCATAGCATACTAGCACATAATCATAATAGATAGTGGCATACTAGACAGTTATCAGAAAGACAATCATCAAACTATAAACAACTACTAGTGAGCTAGCCTTGGTTCCTTAGACCCACTGCTACTGGGAAGGTAACTCACCATGCATTGCTAAATTCCCGCAAATAAAACTCTAGCTGCTGGATGACAGATTCCCGAACTATCAACATCAAAACAAGACCCGATTAATAATTGGGTTCCAATACATAACCATAAGTCCCTGTTTGGGGTAAAAAGACTACTTTACCCCCAACCTAGCTTGATTCAAGACCAAGGCCCAAACACACACTCTGAAGGCTCAAAGGCTAAACAATGATCTAAAGCCCAATATATGGCCCGAATTTCCAAATTGGGCCCAAACCCCTCACATGGGCCTTACCCTAAAGCCCATTTAAATACCCTAGTCCATATTCTTGTTTTAGATGGCCCATCATGAATTCAAACATATAAGCCCAACTGAAAAGCCCAACTCATAACCTAACACAATTAGGGTTTTCACATAAAATGACAATTAGGGTTAATTGAAAACACTTAACCCATTAAGGACTTAATCCATTAAGTCCATCATTCTACTAGGTCAATCATACGGTATGGAGGGCGTTATTCATAATTCAATTCCAATGTCCAAAAATACGGCTCCTGATAATTCAAAACTAGTATATCCAAAATTAGGGTTTTCTAAACCCCAATTAGAGTTTCCTACCCAATCGCATGCTAATTAGTAAAATATTTAGGTTTTTAAGTCAATTAGGCTTTCATTAGGCCGGATACCACCCACTGCCACCTCGGGAGGTGGTGGTCGACGGTGGCTCACGGTGGCATCCACCAGCTCGTAGTGGTGGTGGTTATGATTCTAGCCTAAAGCAAATCAAAAGCATCCCAAATAATAGTCCAATCACACATACAAGTGAACACATCCGCCTAAGGTGGCAACAGAATGGCGGCATGAGGTGGCAATCACCACCTCATGGTGGTGGTGACGGATTTCCTTGATTATTCTAGCCAAAAATACGATTATATAACATAATATCCAAAAGAAACACACACCCAATATAACACACACATATACATGCTCAATCACTGTCACACCCCAAACCGAAATGGCAGAAACGTACGGGGGCGGAGGACGTCATGTTTCGTATCACAAAAAATGTAGAATAGTAAAACAAGTAACAAAATCCATTACATTAATATTATAGTTTTTACATTGTATTCAAATCACATATAATTGACTCCAAAAGTAAATAACAAAACAAAGAATTGAAGCTACTATGCTCCGTCTTCCAGAACCCTGTGCGTATACATATCTACTAGTTTCCTGAGAATATAAGTGATTTAAAAAGTGTATCAACATTTAAGTTGGTGAGTTCATAAGCGTTTGTATTTAGAAAGTGTGTTCATTGTTCCTTGAAAACCTTAGTTTGTTCCTCCAGAAAATCCTATGTATATTCCGATGTAAGAAATGTAAGTTATGTGCCTGATATAAGTTCCTTCTATAAGTACTTAGTGGATACCATTCATATACAATCCATATCGAATAGACAATCGACAGTGTGGTTCTACCCTAAGCCCACAACCAACCAAGGAACAGTAAATGAGGCGGAATCTACACATTCCATTGTCTGTCGGATCTCTTTGTATATAATCCTAATGTGTTCACCAGGTACTTAAGGAGTTAGATGTAATGATTCCTTCCAGCAAATCCTATATTTTATGATGTAATGAAATGTAAGTTCTGTAGTCTTATACTTGGAAAAGTAATGTATTCTAGTTGTGTTTGTATGAAATCCTTTTTTGTAATGCCCGTGTTTCGAGGCTAAGCATTAGTAGATGATATAATAGTCTAGGTCAACCATTGTATCATATTTTGAAGTAATAAAGATGAAATGTTTGCGTATTATGTGATTTATACTTAATTATAAAGATATAATTAATAAAGAATAAAAATTTGTCAAAATTAAAGTGTGAGGTAAACCCGATATCTTTAGATAAAGTTGTAGTGGTCGAAACAAGGATTCTGGATATATAAAGAACGCCAAAATACGGGTTATAACGAAGAAGTTATGGTCGGTCGGAGTTTCGCGACAGAACTGACATGACGCTAAATGACGTAAATAGTGAATTTATGATAGAAGACTTTTTAGCCTCAGCAATCAAAACAAAAGGTGTAGTATACGTT